CCCCAAAACCCCAAAACCCCTCAGTTTAATATTCAGATTATGATTGAATAAAGAATATTTTAAAAAATGAAGTTAAAAATAGCTTTACAGTGGCTAGTTTGGACAACTTTTATATATTAGGTCTAAAATTAAGTATTAAGCTCTATTTAGGAGTATGAGAAGTATTTTGCTTAAAAGCTATCTCAGTATTCTTAATTTTTAGAACTCAAATACTCTACAGAGAAAGGGTTGCATACAACAACTATTAAATAGATAACAAGACCAGCACAGCCAGTTATCAATTTACCTTATAAGTATATAACAGGATTTTGTAAATTTTCTTTTTTTAATGTTGTTAGATGACTTCTATGCAGAAAGTAAGCATAAGTTTTTAGCCCCGATAATCAAAAGAGCTATTATGAATCAAGGGCAATATGAAGGTTTTGTAAAAGGGATAATCTTGTCAATTAAAATGCAAGAAATTTATCAGCTTCATACAGTAGATAGACTTTACTCCACAGATGAAGATGATATCTTTATGAGGAACTACTTAACCTATATGAAAGATGTCTTGATAATGGATGATTATGGTGCATGGAGTGACAAGTAAAGATCTGTTTACTATGAGTATTAAAAAGACAAAGATTCAGGAATCAATAGAACTCAGCTATATAATGATATCGTTTAAGAACTTAAAAAGGCCAAAGTAGCAAATTACCTTGATTATATTTGTGAATTCAAAGACTTCAATATTTGGATGAGTATTGAAGTAACTAGAGCTTATCAAGTTAAACTATCGTAAGGTTATCAATATCTGGAAATAAAATATCTATAGAGATTATTTGCAGCTTAGAAAAGAAAAGTACCCTAATGATTAGGACTAATATCTTTTATAATATCAGAAATACTACGGCAATCACACCATAGTACTACTACCTATTGCAGATATGATTAATGGACTCATCAAAGGGAAAGGATAAAGAGATGCAACATTTTTATTTTATCCTAAGATATTTAGAGACGAGCCTTATCTGCAATTTGCTGTGAAATCAACTTTTAATGTTGGTGAAGAATTCATTTATACTTATATGCCTGATTAATCATAGAAGAAGCTCTTAATGAGCTATGGCATGGCTGTTGATGACAATTATAATGCTAATCATCATCTTATAGTTGATCATGGCATTGGCAACCTTGTAAATGAGTATTTGAAATTATGCTAAGGAATACTAATTTGCATTGACAAAGAAGCAGGTAAGAGAATTTAGAGCAAAGAAGATTCTACCGATAGTTCGAATGTTTACATCTTAAATAAAAGGGAAATTAACCCATACCTCTATAATCTAGTTAGAGCGGGAAACATGTAAAAATACAGACAAAAGTTATTAAGAAACGATAAATTAATGCATAAAAGGCTATCAACATTTGGATATTTTAATATGAGAAATGAGATGAATGTTGTTAGATATCTCATTTAAATATATTCAGAGGAGTATTTGTAGAGATTTGCAGTTTAATAATTGAATAAGGAAATTTAAACCCTTGAACGCACTGATGGTATTTGGCAGAATGAAGATCTTAGAAGGAAACTTATTGTTGTAAAGGCTACAGCACAAACTCAATAGGTTATCTAGTTAAATATGAAATACACATACTAAAGATAAGCATCATTGATTTTGCGATTAGTTAATTAGGATTTGATTGATGAGAACATTAAAAATATGAAGCAGCTACTAAACATGCTTATTCTGCTTATATTTTTCCTTTTCCCATTTGCTTAAAGCGAAAATAACTCATAAGAGGACTTTTTAGATTTTTTTAACACTGAAGGATGAAAATATTGCCCAAAGTTTAAGTTCGAATATTCACCATAGAGAGGAATTTACCCAGTATTAACAGAAGATATTGACGGATCAAAGATAACTCCAGTTTAATTGCCTGTAAAATTAGCCATTCATACCTGTAAAAACATTTTATTTGATCAAAAATCTAGTTAGTTACTTTAAATATAAGAAAGAACTGAGTCTAATGATTCATAATACAACTGAAATGAATAGGACGTCACATGATGCTTATATGACTGTGATGCTCTTTATCAAAATGCAGCTTATGTACAATAAAGAAGAAGAATTCGATTAATTTATGCCTAATATGACCACTCAGGAAAAGAAATATATTATGACAAACTTGGACTACTACAGTACGCTAAAATTAGACGACATGAATTCGTGGACTCCAAAATAGAAAGAAGTATCTACAAAGTATTTAGGATTAAATTACTTTGGGATTGATAGATAAAAGGTTCATGAAGAATTTATGACATAAAAGAAATGAAATATAACTTTATATAGAGAAATTGGGTATATCTTCAATGACTTTCAGCAATTCAACAAGTGGTGGAGCATTGTTCATACTCGTAACCATTACTTTAAATTCAGGTAAAATTCAGTTTCAAAATAATAATCTGTAGTTTATGGCATTAAACTATGAATGAGTAAGACAGTGTTTTGAGCACGATGATTAATTAAAAGTACTTTGAGGTCAAAAGCTTGGTGATATTATCACTTCATGATCTATCAAATCACAAATAGCCTACAATGATCTCCAGAAAAGATAATATCAACTTCAATCTTGTTCCTGTCATGAATAAAAGTACTAAGAGATTTGAAAATATTTCAATGATTGTCAATAGTACTTTCAAAAAAGGAGAAGAGTACGTTTATTCGTATCAAAATCAGTTTCATTCCATGAAGTTACTTAATGGGTATGGTTTCATGATAGATGACAACTTATTTTCAAATGACTTAATTAGCATACCAAATATCCTAAAAGAATTCGTAGGAGAGTATAAAAAGTTATGCTATAGTCAGTTGTGCTTGGAATTTCCTAGATATTATAGAGATGACAACAAAGAAATAAAATATAAAATAGAGAGTGATAGGATAAATTACTAGATAATTAATATGTTGAGAATCAGTATATTGCAGGCTGAGTAGAGATAGTTTTCATTCAACAAGAAATTTATTGAGAATGTAGAGAGGAATATCTCTATAAATGGTTTTATAAGCTATTAAAACAAAGTTAAAATGATAACTAACTTGTCATAATTGCTAACTAATCAAGTAAATCTAAACTTTAAGATTAAGGACATAAATGATATGATTATTAGCATTGAATCAGATCCAATGCATTATTAAGATGATGATAAAAGAAGAAAGCTTTTGGTACTCAAAGTAGCTATTTAAAAGAAGCAAGCAAGTCAAAGAAATCTCATTTATCTATACAAGAGATCAGCTTTGGAGCTATAAAGAGAATTCTTAAATAACCTTGAAATAAATATGAGCATAAAACATTAGAAAGATACAAAATTCAAAATATTAAAATATCTACAAGATAATTGATTATGAATTAATCAATATTCTAAAACCTATATATTTGTTCTAATTCTTATCTAAAATTAATTTGTTTTTTTATAATGGGGAATTTGTCGTAATGGGGTTTTGGGGTTTTGGGGTTTTGGGG